TTTTTTTTTTTTTTTTTTTTTTTTTTGTTTTTAGCTATTACATTATGTCCAAAGAGACTAAAATATTCGCGCCAAAGTTTTTTACTTTCACGAAATCTGCGATTCCACGATGTTTTCATATGAAACGAACCTGTGTAAATATACGGTGTATAAATATTTCGATCTAGAAGTTACTTTAGGAGTTACGCGAAGGGAAAAGAAGTTAAAACGGAAACGATCGTGTCGAAAAAAAAAAGAATCTGGAAAATTCTCGTGAAAATGTATACATATATATATATATATACACTCCCGCTTAGAGGCTATAAATCAAACGAAAAAATCGTTGCCACGCTCCCAGATTCACGGATACGTGTTTCATAACTATACGCGAGTTTATTTCCATATGTCCTGCCCGTGTATACTAAAGAGACTAAAATATCGACCAGACACTCTGTGTGCCCCAGTTCGCCCAGAATTCTCGTGCAATTTCGTTGATATTTCGAAAAACGGTCGATGTTATGTACTGCGAAATTTCTTCTTTCCACGTGTATTTTATTTTTTTTTTTTTCTATTTTAAAAATTATTTTATTTAAAACCCCTGTTTTTACTTTTCTTATATAGCTTGGATTTATATCAATTTTGCACGTAATGGATTGGATTTCTCTCCATGGATCGATGAAACGGAGCTTGCTTAAATTTCTAATCGAGTGTGCTAAATCGAAAACGAATTCGTCCATGGATTTGGATGTTTCTATTTCAGTGGAGACAGGTGATTTTTAGTGTTCGTTTAAAATTATTAAAACGATTGAGATATATAATTTAAATTTCATTTTTCAAATAGCATTTTCAGCAGTTTACCTTTCCTTAGCGGCAATTTATGAGCGAGTTTTTCTCCAAACTCTCAATAGCAGTTACTCTACAGGCTATATAATAGAGATTACAATAGCGATGGCCACTTGACAAGTAACGCTTGCGCCAACCAAGGTTGCCCATTAACCCTGTTGAAAAAGTAACTGGTTATAAAAATTTTATTCATAGCTATTGTAGTCGATCATCATATAATAACCTTGGAATTACAGTTATCCAAGATTATTCGATATTTTGAATAATAAATTATATTGAAGTAAGTTTTATTCTCAACTATTAAATTTTGCCCATCTATGGCAAGAGTGTCAATTGTCTTGCATTGAACTTCTTGCAATAAAATTGCATCAAGCAATCAATTTTAATTAAAACCAGTAAATATACGTATTTTTATATATAATTGATCAGCCAATAAATTATTGAATTAACTTTACTCTTAATTTCAGTTGTTAAAAATTTCGTCTCGCCATCTCTGAACGACAAAGGACGATTGTCATGGCGATATGATATGAGAGCCCATCTCCATGCAAATCCATCCCTCTTAATTCGGATTTTCGTCCAAGACGATTACTAGAGGGAGAGTTAAGATTCGCTACAATTTTCAAGACAGCCCTCTCCAACGCGGCCATTGCTCTTTTTCATCCCCTCTTAATTCGCATTTTCGTCGAGGATTACCAAGGGGAGAACCAAGGCCCGTGATAATTTTCAAAATCGTCCTCCAACGCTGCCATTGCTCTTTTTCACCCCCCTCTTAATTCGCATTTTTGTGATTATTTGGAAGGAAGCATCAAGTTTTCTAAACTATCCTCCAACATTGCTCTTTTTCCTTGATTACCGGGGAGGGAGAATTAAGAACCTGCCACGATTTTTACAATCAGAGTTTAGATCAGACTTCAGTTGAACGCAAGAGAAGTTCGTTTAGAACTCGTGGAATTCGGATCAATCAGCTGCAAAAACAATTGGATCGAATTGAGGCACTCCTTTTTGCTCGAAATTACGCTTTGTTTGGTTTAAAACAATTTTGATTATTTTTTAAGTTCGATTCTCTATAAGAGAATCTTAATAGATTCTTTTTTTTTTTTTTAGATTTAAAAATGAACGAGCCATCATCAATTGTATATCGTTTCGAGTTGAAACGTTAATGTTTGCGTTTTAAATAGAAGCTTCGTCCGATATTTATTCTCGTCAAAGAGTTCTCGAGGAGAAAAAGATAGACACAAGGAAGACGCGGGCACTACGGAAAATTTATCGCTATCCAGCCAACCACCTCTGTTCCCTCTTTCTCAAAGAGAATTATTCCTGTTGTCATACGTGTGACCGACTTTCCATCTGCTTCGAGGAGAAGAGCGAAGATAGAGAAATCCTGCGAGAGATAAAAAAAAAAAGGGAGAGAGAGAGAGAAAGAGAAAAAAATAAAATAATAATTCGATCGAATCGTTGGAACCGAGTGCTGCTCTTCCATCCGGGCTGTCGCTTCTTATTTGCTCTGGAAGAGTAATATTTCAAAAGAATAACAGTGGACGTTGGCGTCTCTCTCTCTCTCTCTCTGTCTGTCTGTCTGTCTGTCTGTCTCTCTCTCTTTCTCGAATAAAATGTAATCGAAAGATAGGAAATAGATGATACCACTGTATATTATATCGGCGAATAACTGTGCCCCACGATTCACGTTGGAAATTATACCGAGGCAACTTTCTAAATTATTGGCTGGTAAATTTATTACACCGATTTATTCTCCGCCACGGTTTATTTTCCCGCGGATCGATCCGCGATTTCTCGATTAAATTTACTGATAAATCGGTTAATTATTATTCCAGAGGCGATCTGTATGGGGGAAAAGGAAAAAAAAAAAAAGTGAAAAAAATATTGACAAATTAATGTCCACGAATATCTGCGAATTGATATATTTTTCCTTTTACTATTATATTTCGCGTCATCTCTGTAGGAGAGGGTATATAAATATATTGAGATTTTGAGATGCCTAATAAAAATGGAATTTTTTTTTTTTTACAGGCATGCGACTGTTTGGGCATTAGCAAGGAATGCGACTACTTTGGGCTGAAGTATCAGAACGCGAAGGGCGAGGAGCTCTGGTTGAATCTGAGGAATCCTATAGAGAGGCAAACAGGCGGCGGTGTGGCCCCGCTGAGATTCGCATTGAGGGTTAAGTTTTGGGTACCGCCTCACCTGTTGCTGCAAGAAGCTACCAGGTAAAAAAAAAAAAAAAGAAAGAAACGTTTCTTCCTCTCCCATCCCTACAAAAAAAAAAGAAAGAACTATTCTCCGCGAATCGCGCCCCTCTTCGATTGGAATCTCGAAGGAATTCGAAATTCGCGTATATTATAACGAGGGTTATCATAAAGCAAGAAAGAAAAATACCGACCCAGATACCCACGTGACCTAAATCCAGTGAAAATAATTTTTGTGAAAAGAATTTCCCTCCTCGAGTCGCGAGGGAGCAACCGAGATTTTTGACCCCTGGTGCTCGATGGATTGCCACCCGATCGATAAATCGGCGCTCTGTTTTCCGGGGCCGGTCAAGCACGTACGAAATTGCATCACCGAGCCCGAATTGGAAGATACCGATTGCAACGGATAATGCGATGAATATGGTATTCGAGTTATAACCGAAGATTGGGTATTGGCTCGACGAAACGAGGTAAACATCGAAAAGCGCGGATAGATCGAATCCATGTGCTGGTGGTACGTCGATGGTACGACGAAATTTGCGGTCGATTCGTGTCTGTGTGTGTGTACGTATATATATATGTGTGTGAATAGCTTCTGCTATTCAAGGTAAGCTAGGTCGTGATTAAACGTGGCCGAACCGGGTCGCGGGTAATTAATCGGCGGGTGCGAAAACCCGGCTTGTTCTCTCGGTTATGGAAGATTTCGTCGAAATCGTAATTCCAGTTTAATTCGCGGTGTAACTCGAATCCACGAATTTGTAAAGGTAAACGGGGAGTAGTGCGACCGACACGGCGGATTAATTCGAGCGATGGTGTAAGGTTATGATTGACTAAGGATAATCGCGCCACCTGACGGGAAACTATACTTTCCGTTCTCGTCACGTCTCTTTCTTTCTGCGTTCACGGTGGTTGCTCGTGTTAATCGAGTTAAATTTTTGCAAAAGAAAAACTTTGAACTTTGAAGAAAAAGGAATCGGCCGAAATTTCTTTTCTTAAACACGTGTTTCAACTGAGTGAGTGTTCCAGAATTTCATTAAGGCGGGTTTCGATAATAAGGTTTTCGCATTTATCGAAATGGAAACGGAAAGAGATACACGAAGTTTATTAATCCTATTCGTCACGACGAGATATCATTGTCAGACGAATATCCTTGTCAGATTTGTATCGCAGAGACATTGTCTCGTCCAAGTTTGATAATCTTTGATTAGCCTAAATCGATTATAGCGTAGCTAGAAGTGGGTCAATTTTGAAAGTTGAAAAAGACGGACACTTCCACGTTTCCCATTATACTTTCTCGTTATCTCGATAATCCGTGTCGAGGACAATTATAACCAACGAGGATTATATCGTGAAATTTTGTTGATCGGAGAATAACAAAATATTTTTCTCCTCCATTCTCTCTTATTTTTTTTTTACACGCGTGAAGAATTAATCGTCTCGATCCTCGACGATTATATAATAAACGACCCGTCCTCGTACATACAATTGGCGCTCTCGCATAACCGAATCC